TAAGATGCAGGAATTACTAAGTCTTCACAAGAAATAAAGAATCTAGATGTGAGAATTGTCATCGACTGTCTGCATGTGTTGCTACACAATGTTTGTTCAACAGAAATCAAATACCCGTGTTGCTACCTATGGCATTTTGCATTGTTGTTAGCATTGAACTGAACAAATTTTACTAAGGCCAAGTCATGTGGTTGTTTCATATACACGATGCACAATTCTCATTGTTTGCTTTGACAGTAAACATCAAGTAGGAATGGCAATAAATAGCTTGAAGCATTAGATGCAAGTAAGCAATAAATGAAATGCCCTGGTAAATTTCCAATACAGTGATTTTCCCTTCCCTGGGTGCTACTATGACATAAAGACATCATCTCGAAAACGACAGATGCGTATGCGGACAACATCCAACAATCTGAACTAGGCCTGTCCATTTTAGTTGTCATTAATCACAAGTAACAAGTGACTATGCTGGAGGATGAGATGCATCAGTGGGAGTGAAAAGATAATTGGGCTGAGATGGGAGCAGGTCCAGACAACATTGGGTAAATTGTTAATGATGCCCTCGCTGCTGGGGGGAAAAAAAAAACAACAAAAAAAAAACACCGCAGCTACTTGTAAGATAAGCCGTCTCTGATCACACCCACACGAGTCCCATTGTATGAAGTACAGCATGTGGAAAAGAGAGCGAAGAAAAAAAAAACTTGACAAATGACCACAGCTGAAGGACCCCATCAGGGAGTGTTAGTCCACACAGTCCGAGCCCGCCGTGCAGCGTGTGATATTTCACACGTAGCATTTCCAGGATCCAGATCATCACAAGCTGCATGTACAGTTAGGCTGAAAATGACTCACACCTTGGTCAAATTTAGAGTTTGAGTTAGTTTTCTGCTACTTGGGTAACTCTTGATCAAAAATGACAAACAGAGTGAGTCGTGATGATGTTGGTATACTGTACGTCTATATATTGGCTATCTATCCATTGAGAGAGAGTACGGTATGCACAATTTGGAACATCATAATATTACAAAAAAATATTGTCAATTAATACAGTTCTCACATTCATGTGTTATTTCCATTTTAAAGGCTAAAGAATGAATAATTTGGGTTTTAATTGTATTTATGGATGTTCGAAAAAAAATCCCCACTTTTGGGTCACAAATTCATGGCAAAGCAACAGGTCGCGCTATAACCTAAATCCATAAGGGGATTGTAGCCAATTAGAAGCAACATGAAATCAATTTCAGGAAAAAGGCACAGAGCAATGGGGACTAAAGGACGATTATTATATTTGAGTTCAGGATTAGGCTTTGTGATCACACTGGACTATGAATTAAAAAATACCATATTTTCCGTATTATAAGGTGCTTCGGAGTATAAGGCGCACCTTCAATGAATGGGCAATTTTGTTTTCATATACAGATCGCACCGCATTATAAGACGAATAGAATAGAAGCTACAATAGTGGCGGCAGTTGCGTTATGCATCCACTAGATGAAGTTACGCTAAAAGGAATACAATGAAATACAATTACTGTGTAGCTGTATTTATATGGAGCTTTCACAAGCGCTGCAGTGGTCACAAAGCGCTTTACAGAACATTTAAAATATTATGTAATCATAGCTAGCTATGTAATGAAATATAGTTGACCTAAAATTGTGTTGCAAACTGCCAAAATGCAAAGAACAACATTTACAGTTTTAAAATATCTCTGTGGGCATGCCCTTTGCATCTAAGATGGTGCAACTATTTACTTTCATGTGTCTGTCAGGTAAAAGCGATCAGTCAGAATGAGTTAATATTGGATCATCCAGGCGTGCAATTGTCAAGTGTGGTAAACTTGCAGTCCAGTACTGTCAAATATAGTCTGCAATATGAAGGTGAATGTTTTGGCTGCTAATGAGGTAGTTTTGAAATGTTCACTCCCCCAAAGGGGAAAATGAAGGATAGCTTCAAAACAACCGCTGTGTGCCATGCACACCAAAATACGGATCTTCAAGTTCCAATTTACAGACGCATAGTGGAAAGTGTGATTAACGCACGGTGAACGCTAACACTTCACGAGAGTTCATCATCACTGGAGTGAGAGAGAAAAAGCAATGAGGTTCTTTTTTTTGGCAGATTTCCTGCTCGCTCAGGGTTGACAAATTGCCGAGGCACCTTGTCACAGCACCACTTTGAGGACGCTAACGGTTTCATCTTTCATGATTTAGATCTCAGGCATACAGGAAGCCCAGCGGAAATATTCCGTACGCCTTCATTGGCATCAAACAATGCAGAGCAATTAAAGTCTTTTTGAATAATATTTCATACGAGACGAGGCTCGGCGGATCAATGACAGCCGCTTTGGTGTGGAATCGCCTCAAACAGACTGTACTCAGACAGGAAAATTGCAAAGGGAGCACATTCAACAATCGTCACAAATTGTACAAAGCTACCTTGAAAGTGTTGGCCAGTCAAAATAAATCATTACAACATGTTCGAACTATTTGTTAGGCTATGACCACACAACAATCTCAAACTTCAAGAACCACCATTATCCACATCGGTTCAATCTGTTCGATATTATTGTTCGAGCGATGTACAATTGTGTTCACTCGCAATAACAATACCATGTCAAGACGACTGGGAAACGCTGCAGAATTCCCCGTGACCTTGACCTTGACCTTAACCGTTGTGAGGATAAAGCAGATCGGAAAATGGATATATGGATGTTTGCAGATAATTGATGAAAACCCGCAAAGACTGACAACTCGTACTCAGTTGTGGAGCTACAGCTTGAAACTATTTTTCACTTTTCCTAATTTGAGGGGCGTGGCTAAAACGGCACCGAGTGATGTTGTTCGTCTGAGACGCGAGTCGCCCGTCCACCACGACATGAGCGCCTTCGTTCAAATCAGCGATTCAGCGGCGCAATTGCGAGGTGCATTTTCCGAGCTAGCTATGCCTATACCCCAAAAACGCATCTTGCCTTTGGCTAATCTGGCTGCTTTAGAGCGCCTCGTTGTCAGCCCTAAGTGTCTGCGTGGCACGGAGAGGAAAAAAAGTTGTGAAGCGAGCGTTTCGAGAGGGTCTTCACACTGGCATGGCTGCTTTTGAAGTGTGGAAAAATCCTTGTTACCATCCATTTTTTTTCACGTCATCAAGTGGTACATTGACAGTTGACAGCTGAGCAGTGTGCATTCACCGGACATTTCAGCATTTTTGCTGAAGAAATGTGTCCATATCATCTGGCGTTGACAATTTTAAGAGCTGATTTTCAAAGCTACGTTTGCCGACCTAGTAGGTACAGTAAATGGCCCAAATAAACACATGCCGGGCGGGAGAGTGGCAGTGTCATGGCAACGTCGCCTGCGATGGAAGAGCGTGCTGTAGCAAATCAAAAGCTCATCGTTCGTACACACATCTTCTAATCTCTAATGCCACACTCTAATCCACACATTTGCCCACGACTGATAATTCGGATGAAGCGCACTGCAATATTTTTCAAAAGCCACAGTGCCACGCAACACAGTTAAGTCCGGTGAAGAGTTTTGTGCGTTGCCATTTGATGATCCGTACTTATTTTACCTTTGTGCCATTCATTGAGTTTGAAAGGGTCTACCTTGCTACACATACCTACTGCAGCCTATTTACTGGTTACCAGAAAACGATCTCATCCATGCAACAATGGCAAGAGGAACCAAAAAGTATTTTACTTTTTGGCGAAACAACAATTTACCAACTTTCTTCAGCAGCACTAGAGTGAAAGTTAGATAACACCATGGACTGGCCACTCGCCAAGAACAGAATTCTGAAAATGGCACTGAAGCACACCGGAACCTCAACCCTTAGAACCACCATTATATAATTAAACCACATTTTATTTCCATAGCAGACCTTTACTACTTGATGGAAAAAAGAACAGGCATTAAGATTCATTTGTGTCACGTAATAAGTTCTGTTTATCAGCCCCGTGTCAGACCAACACACATAGAGATGTGGCATGAAACAACCTGATTAGTTGGGCACTATCCCCTTGAGTCATTTTCCATGAGTCACAAGCAGCATCAGTGAAATGAGTTGCAATCATAACATTACGCACGCCGATAACGGTTTGAAAACTGTAAATGTCACTGGGCTCGGTTAAATCTGGGCTTGTTGTTTTTTTAATTCCGCCCAACTTCTGTTCAATCATTTTTAATGGTTTGCATGATGATTAGCGCTGTAATTAGTTCGGAGGATCCGACTGATGCAGTGTTGAGTTGAGAACGCGCTGCGCAATTCCGACACACCTAATCACAGCTGTGACAGGAAATCAAAGCTATCGATTGAAGCGTTCACACCGTACGGATCGACGGAAAGCCACACCTCGACTCAATGAGTTTGGGGTTGTTGGTGTTCAACTAAATTCTTGTTGGGATTCTGCTTTTCAAACGGCTGCTGACTCGACAAAGAATTCAGGACCCTGTCAATGCTCCAAACAGCACGGTCAACAGATTCACGTGCTTCTCCTTTTGTTTGTGCGCGACAACACCATTCATAACTTTGTGCAGGCATGCAGAAAGTCTCGATAGTTCGGAAAGTCTAATTCCGAAATTGAACATGCTTTCCTCTGACCTCAAACAGATTTTGAAAGGAAAATTTGGACTTGGGGAGCTACCGGTCATTAGCTTCCAACAAAGATATTCTGTACATCAGGGGTGTCAAACTCATTTTTGTCGCGGGCCACATTGTAGTTACGGTTTGCCATGTTTAATTCCCTCTACATATTACACATACAGCGCACAACAAATTGATGAATAACTATTTTTAAAATCAGAAGTCAAGAAGAAGGACTGTTATTGTGGATTGCATATGACAATTTGAAATTTTGTTTCAGACTTTGGCAAGCATCATGGAACGTGACATGCTTGATTTGCTTTCGCGGGCCACATAAAAATGATATGGCGGGCCAGATCTGGCCCCCGGGCCTTGACTTTGACACCTGTGTTTTACATTGATACAGAGGGAGAATCGCTTACCTGAGGGTGAAGATGTGCACGGAAGAAAGAGTCGATAGAGCCAGAAAAGCAGATACACCTTCTCTCTGTCGGATGGGTTTGGACGGCACCATGACCAAAAAGTTACTGTCCAGTTTCAGTTCCGAGAGCGGCTGAAAGAGCCTGACGCTCCCGATGCGTTGCATGGGCGTATGCCCCACAGAATAGCCCCTCGGACCGTGCTGCTCCGTACGAACAGCGCTGCCTTTCCGCGAGTCCTCGGCGTTGCAGTCGCCGGCGTTGCCGCTTTGAACCGTGTAATACAGTTCCACGGGAGTGCCTTGGGCCTGCTCAGGCATCCTCTGCCTCCCTGGCCTGACGGTGGGTGGGCTGAACCAGCTCGCAAGAGGCTCCAGCTCGGCAACGCAAATGCCCAGCTCGCCTTTCAGCCTGCATGTCCCGCGCACCTCTTGAGTCTCGTGGAAGGCAAACATCCTGATGCAAGGCAGCTTTCGGATGGCACTGTAATCATCCCAGTCCCTCCCTGCGATGTAGAATAACACTTGGACCTTTGGCCAGCTGGGGTGAATCCTCTCGTTGATGATGTATGTGTGAACCTTCCAGTTAAATGTGAAGAGCGGCGTCAGTGACGGGGATGTCGGCGCTGTTGATAAAGTGGACAAACTGAAAGGCCCCGGTTGAGTCTGCAGCATGTCCAGCGGGATCGGCTTCTGGACGGACAGCGGGCCGTAGCTCGCGTTCACAAAGGGCATCTGCCGAGCCTGGTGGATGAAGAAGGACTCTGTACGGGCCTGCAGGCTGGAATTCCTCATTAAATCCTGGTTTGCCTCCTGGAGGAAGAAAGCTGACTCAGCATTAAGGATCCGGTAGCTGACAGGCAGATAGATTGGCACTGGGTTGTACCTCTGCAGGCCCTCCGGGATGGCCTTGCTGTCCACCACTAAAACAGACAGAAGACACCGCAGCAAAGGGAAGTTATGTCTTGCTCTTTTGTTCCAACAACTGAAACTCGATAACACATATATCTGCATTAGAAATAATACGAGCCAGCCACGGGAACGCTTTTACAGGCCTTTTTAAGTGAAAGAGCCTTTTTTCTAAAGCTTATCAACAAAGCCGCAGACAGGCATGAAATGAAAGTCTAATACGAGAAAAAAAGGCAAAGTGGCACACAAGCTTGTAAGGAGCAATCCAGAGCTACCTAAATATTGACATGCATACCCTGCAACCCGAAGCAATCATACCGTTCATCAAATCCATTGGAAAATGTTAAATAGTCATTCAAAAAAGATCATTATCTTGGGCTGCGCCACTTGAATGTTTCAAGTCTTGCATCGACTGAGCCACCGTGATCGCAATCCTTCTCAACCTAATTGACTGGCGGTGCAAATGTTATGTCTGTTCAGTTTAGAATTAATTCACGCTCTCGAGTTGTATTGGCTTGCAGACTGAGCGGTATGTCCCTCAACATTGTCTCTCTGCGTGAATTCCTTTTTTTTTTTTTTTTTGCAAACGCACATCACCGTTTCCTCACCAGCCATCGTGCTTTAGATTGGTGTACTGACAGAGCGAGCGAAAAGTCCGTTCAAGAGTTCCCAACAAGATTCATAAGGAGAGTACGTTCTCAGACCAGCAGGCTAGTGAAGAGTTCATGCTGGTCCGGGCATGATTTCAAGAGACTTTACTTTCTCTTCTGTGTTTTGCAGCAATGGAGCCAAATAAATGGGCTTCTCCGTGGATCAATTAGAGAAGAAATATCTTAACCTTCTGCATCTGTTTTAATTTCCATTCTAGGCCTAATGGAGCAGCCAAGATATTTTTTTCTGGTCTATTAAACAGGTCAGGTCCTAGACTGAGTTTGGCTGGCAAGAAAAAAAAAAAAATTTTTTTTATTTCTCAACAAGGGCACAAATAATGAGAATACGGCCTTTGTCTCAGCCACCGCTTTGAAAGCGCGATTGGCTTTATGCATGATAAACAGGCCCCGGGCAGAACCTAATTACGGACCTATTCAATAAAAGAATATGCATCAGTAATTCATGTCAGACGTGAGCGACAAAGCTATGGAAATGATAAGCATGAATTGATAAACACAAATTATCTGAACTCATTTGGAATTTTTGTGAAGCCGTATTCATGCCCCGATCTTTCTTCTAATTCTTCTTGTATTAAAGTACATCCCCGATGTAGCCGGGGAGACAAAAAGACCCGCAGACAGACCGGTGAGTGATGGCACTTTAGTGTTTGATGCCCCTGATTTGAAAGATGGCAAAACGGGGCTCAATGTCAAGGGAGCAAGCAGGTCGTTGGTGCTAGATCAACTGAAGAGATTATTTCCCGATTGCCCCGACGCTTCGGTGGATGTGACACACTGTCCTAGTTTCGAACTTACTATGACACAGATGAAACCAAATCCCTCTTTACAGCTGGAAACAAGTCAAAACAAATGTCGTTGGCAGATTTTGCCCATTTTACGACACGGCGAGGGTCGTTATAAATAACGCAGGCAAAGCTGGTTTGATTTGCAGCCGCGAGTTATCCTTGGATTTCGTGTCAGCAGCTACTGTACTTGTAAATCATGTATGCTGCCGGACTGCTTCTGCAAATGGAAAAGGAAATGATTTGTGATGATAAGTTAACTCCCCCCACCCCCCACCCCCCCGTGGTAAATCTAGGTTGTAAAACTCTTGCGAGGAGAGGATTGCTGGGGAATGGCAGCGCGCCAGGATGCAGGCCCAAGAGTATGACGGGTAGGAGCTCGCGCATGACCTGATCACATTGTTTAGCAGATGTTGCGCTCAGCATTTCGTGTCCTCATTGCTTACACTACTGAGTCAAAAAGTCATGGCCAATAAACAGCTTGAAGACTCTTTGATAAAGAATTGTTCACTGTCTGCCAAACTACTGCTAGTTGTCAAGTCAGTTGAGATGAGTACACTGCCGCCGTGCAGTGTGTGTATTTAATTTTTGTTCTCAAGTCAAGGCAAAAAAAAAAAAAAAACACTATTTTTAAATGGCTGCAAGATCGGACATTTTAACTCTCTTTAGTACATTCGGCAAACAGATTTGGTTGAATCAGATAAACATGATCGAGGGGAGAGCGCGAGACGGGAGCGTGAGATAAGAGGAAGCGGTGGTTATTGAAATTGGACAAGGTGAAGATATGATGATGGGAACATATGATCCGTACAACATTCGCGCCTGGAGTGATTGCTCAAAAATGAAGACTTGATTCTTGTCAAAACAACACAACCATAGCCGAATTCTTCATTGCTCACCGGCTTTGAGCCATATGTTTAGACCGTCGCCTGGAAAATGTAAAAAATAAATAAATACATACATATATACATGCATATTTATTTATTTACAAGACATGGTAAAATCCGCATCGGGCAAGCTTTCACGGGCCAAACTTGAAAATCTCAAAAACCATGATCTGCTCGAAAAAAAAGTAAAGACATCTTTTAAATCAGCTTCAAAAATACATCTAACTCTGGAGAACCCACGAGGTCTAATTTGGCCCCTATAAATTCTGCTACTCAAATGCTACCCTTAAATGCCAAAGGGTCAAATTTGGCCCAAATCCTAAATTAGGATTAAAGAATTAAATATTTGACAATATTGTTCAGTGAACATATAGCAGTCATTTAATGTATAATTCATCATTTTCCAAAGTAGAAAAGGATTCTTGGGTTCTCCAGGGTTAAGGGACGCATATCGGATTCAAGCTTGCTGTTGACCAGTGTTATTAATTTTCTGTTATTGCTATAATTTAGCCTCATTACTCAGATTGCCTTTACATGGCAACAACATTCATCGTGTGAATGGACAAAACAATGTATCTTAAATAAGAGAGTTGGTGGTTGTTGACATTTTCCTCAATGGTAACTTTACTTCCTGTTGAGAAATACCTCAGGGGACCCCTGAGTCATGCTCCTCGGTGGCCTCTCCGCCGGTCACTTTGAGAGGTAACATTTCCGCATTTCTAACCTCATAACAATTGAATTTCAGGGTATGCTGAAAGCTCCCGGTAAAATGAAAAACACGTATAAATGTCAGCAGCTGATCAAACAAAATGCCGTCGGCAATGGCGAGACATTTCGTAACCTTATGGGACGTTTGAATAAAATATTAAACAAAATGGAGACATCGCCACGTCCATTTTTTAACTTGAGCTGTTCACCGATTATTAGCGTGTAAATTGGTGTTGCTAGGTCCTAACTTTACAAACCCCTGAAGCATCTTAACATATCGATTCTTGACATCGTACTCTGGTTGGTGTTCCACACGAATAAAAACACGGAGGGACACTAATGACTCGAAGAGCCCATCAAATGCAACCTGACACAGCAAGAGTTCCGCAAGGAGGCAGAGCGTCCAATACCAGCGGGAGGTTAATCGGATCCCATAAAAACAAGACACCCTTGTCTTTCATCACTAGGCAATGCATTTATGCAGTGATTGATCGGCGGAATCATATTTTCCCTTTAAGGGAAATGAGGGAAAATGAAGTGATGTGACCAGAGCAACAATGAAGGAGCATGCTGCAAACCATCTCAGCAATCAATCAATTATATCCGTTGCCTTGGGTTGTTGTTTTCTTTCGAGAATTGGAGCTAAGGCCAAACTGAAAGTCTTCCTGAATTTGCGATTTAGCATCGAAGTAACTTGCAGTTGAATAACTGCCGGAACACGAGACAAAAGACATTTTTACAATTTAAATTTTTTTTCATTGAGGAATGACCGTATTTTCCACACTATAAGGCGCTTCGGAGTATAAGGCGCACCTTCAATGAATGGCGTAATTTAAAACTGTTTTCATATATACGGCGCACCGCATTATAAGGCGCATAGAATAGACGCTACAATAGTGGCTGCGGTTGCCTCATGCATCCACTAGATGGGGCTACGCTAAAGGGAATACAATACAATACAATGCAGCTTTATTTATATCGAACTTTCACAGCCGCTGTAGCTGCAACAAAGTACTTTCCAGAACATTAAAAAGACTACATTGAAGAAATCAGAATATTGATCCATATATCAGGTGCATTGGATTATAAGGTGCACTGTTGGCTTTTCAAAAAATTTAATGCTTTAGGTGGAAAATACGGTAATGACTGCCTGTGCCATCTAGTCATGATCTGCTAAGCAACAAAATGTCAACATTTAAAACCACAGGTGAGTATTCATCGTCAGTGGCTTATCTTCAATATTTGATTTATTATTGTCAAATGCCAGCATAACGCTTCTTCATCAATGCAAACTTGCTGGCAAAGAAAATAGGCGGGCCAAATTTCTTAAGCTTTTTCTTCATGCAAGATATTGGCTGATGTTTAAAACAGTGCCATTTCCTTGAAATGAAATTTCACTGGTTCAAAAATCCCAAAGACAGAGCCCGGACTCAAAAAAAAAAAAAAAAAAAAGATAGAGGTAGATAAAATAAAGCTCCCAATCGGGAATTAGTTGGGAAGACTTGCAGCAGCTTCCACCCGTCTCTTGCAGTTTCCCCTCTGCTCACTCTGCACCATGTTAGCCTACTGGGGGTTACATGGCAACAGCACCTGCACAGGAAAGCCTTCTCCCTTAAAGACGCATGGGGGACACGAATGGACTTTTTATGCCAGTTCAGGCCGCCGTGTGCGTGCGCATTATACAGTGTCAGGGAGACAGGAGGTGAATGGTGGCGTGGGGACTCACAAGAGAGCCATAGGTTGTTTGGACGGGATGAGCTACGACATGAGGCCTCTTCAACAAAATGCCGCTAAATGTGCTGAGCAGACCAGAAGAGCAATTTGGCTAGCATATAAAGCGCCCAAAGGGCTAATTGAAGGCAACACTTTTAACTATGCCGAGGCATTTAATACCTTCGATTACCTTGGAGAACTTAGCAATGTGACTAGCTCCCTCCCTCCCCCGAGCTACTTGCCTTTAAAATGA